AGATGAAGTGAAATCCGCCGATATGTAAGACTATAAAAAACAAGCTAGTAATTAAAGTCATTCACTAATAAAATTTTTCGTACCTTTGGTGGAATTAATTCATATAAACGCAAATCGCTATTTGATCCGATTATAAATTGGTTTGTCCCTTCATGTGGCGACCAAATTATATCGTATGAACGTGGTAAACTTGACATTTGTACTTTTATGAACTTATGAACTATATATTTCGATTGAACACAAAATATAGTAAAAATTAGATAATTATATAATTAAACTTTTTTCGAAGGGGAACAATGAATCATGAACCATATTTAGCAATCCTAGTGATACAACGATTTCATATTTAAGCCTATTCATCCACTTTTGAAGAACTACGTAAAGTTCGCGTTTCTTGAAATAATGTCAAGGAGATCTAGATTAAAAGGAAAAGAGATTCTCGAAACTGAGTCTTTGTCTAGACAGCATTCTACAGGTGATGATTCTCCCAGCGAGGGCGAGAGTGCTCTAGAAAAGGGCGTTAAAAGGATTAAGCTTGACGAAAGGATAAGTCAAGAAACTTCTGTCGCTACTTCCTCCAACAGGTTCCAAATTGGCTCTATTGTTCGAGTGTGTCTAAAGAATTTCGTCACGTACGATTCTGTAGAGTTTTTTCCAGGACCTAATCTTAATATGATCATTGGCCCTAATGGAACTGGAAAAAGTACAATCGTGTGCGCGATTGCTCTAGGCCTTGGATGGAATACTTCAGTAAGTCTTATTATAATTTTCATCATTCTAATTTGTTTTTTAATTTGCGTCTTGATTACTAATTTTTGCGATCAAAGCTTCTGGGACGTGCAAAAGAGATTTCAGATTTTGTTAAACATGGTCAAGAGCGCGCATCAATAGAAATTGAATTAAAGAGTAAAGGTAGAAATGCTGTAATTACGCGAATGATTCGGAAGTCTAATAATATGTCTCAATGGAAGCTAAATGGTGAATATATATTTTATTCTCTTTTGGGTTGGCAAAAATCAAGAGATTTGTCTTTTATCTATTTTTAAATCTTTATAGGTCAACCTGCAACTCATCGTGAAGTTTCTAATAAAGTAAATTCGCTTAATATTCAAGTTGACAATCTTTGGCAAGTTTCTTACTATCGCGATTTTTTGAAATTAATGTATGTTTTTGACGGCTATATATTTTTTCTTTATATTTCTG